TAAGAGCTCTCAAGAAGAAGAGAGTCTTTACAAAATGTTGAGAGAATATTGAAAAGAAAAATGAATGATTGAAAGAATAATGACTCCTATTCAGAAAACAAAAAGCTTAAATATTTAGTTAGAAAATGAACAAATGATCCTTGAACTTCCATCAAATATGCACTGGTGACCTCGAACTCTTCATAACTTTAGCTCATATCCTTAAGTTTCCACAAATCTACAGAAATACCCTTTTTAACATAATTTCTTACAATATAAGTCCAAAAGCTTATAAATGACAAGATTGTACTACAATACACGATATTTAACATCATCTAGAAGAAAGTTATATAATTAAATAATACTATATATATGTTATTCGGTTAACCGGTATGGTGAAACACATAATCGAAATCAAAACTTATTTTATTTTAAAATGGGTGTTCCACTGGTGTCACTAGGATGAAGATACAAGGGATCTCCAAAATCTAATTTAGCAATTTGAGACATCCCTTAAGTCTCAATGACATACACAAACAATCAATCAAAAACAGTTAACAAGATAACAAACAACAGGATTCCTAAAACACTCAGAGGTGCTAGGTCAAGCCAACTATCTAGCCACACAACAGAAAATACAGAACAAAAAAGAACAACAAGAAAGCAAGAGACATGATTCCTAAAACACTCAAAGGTGCTAGGTCAAGCCAAACTTTCAAGCCACAACCAAATGAATCCACAAGCAAAGAAAGCAGTAAGAATGGGAGCCTGCCTATAGGCCAAGAACACTGACTCAGTACCCTTGCTATTGACAGGAAGGGAAAGAAGACTTACAGAGATTCTTGAATAATCGAGAGCAAAAGGGAGAACACCACAAGTGACTCCAGTAGCATAACAAAACCTTAACCATAAAAGCAAGGAAACAAACAGAACCAAAACAGGGGCCCCGCACAACGGAGGAAAAGAAGAAGACTGGTTATAGTGTCTTCGATAACACCAAGAGTAAAAAAAAACCTAGAAATCCTACCACAATTGATTACCTGAAACAAAACTACAATGTTCTTCGATGGGAAGAACATGTAGAAAACCAAATCTTAAGAAAAGGTTAAAAAAACCTTACCTGTAATCTTGGATGAATAACAATAGATTGAAGGAGAAAGATCTCAATTCGACCAAAGAGCGAATGCACCAAGAACATTCAGATTTAAAGAGATCAGATCTAAAGAAACCAACAGTTGCTCTTTCCAAACGACGAAAGCAAACAACAAACCACTAGACCAAAAACGTTCTATACAACTTAGAACGAATCGAGCTCTGATACCATGTTCAAACTAATCAAACCTTTTAGTTATGAAAAGAAGGTAAACAGAAACCCTAAGAGCTCTCAAGAATAAGAGTCTTTACAAAATGTTGAGAGAATATTGAAAAGAAAAATGAACGATTGAAAGAATAATGACTCCTATTTAAAAAACAAAAAGCTTAAATACTCGGCTAGAAAATACACAAATGATCCTTGAACTTCCATCAAATATGCACCGGTGACCTCGAGCTCTTCACAGCTTTAGCTCACATCCTTAAGTTTACACAAATCTACAGAAATACCATTTTTAACATAATTTCTTACAAAATAAAAACCAAAAGCTTATAAATGACAAGATTGTACTACAATACACGATATTTAACATTATCTAGAAGAAAACAATATAATTAAATAATAGTATAATCTGTTATTCGGTTAACCGATATGGTAAAACACATAATCGAAATCAAAACTTACTTTATTCATTTAACCGAACAATTTAACTTACAAACCGTTTTAATCCAGAAGAGTTATTTAGTTCCAGATTTTCTATATCCCTAGACCTCTAAATCACTTAAGTTTTTGAATCTGACGTATCACGTGGTAATATAAACGATATCCTGTAGCTAAATAAAAATAGTAAAAAAATATATAAATAATTAATTAAGCAGGTGGTCCTAAAGTTTGTAGAAAAGAAAAGTAAAAGAGCATAGAATTACGTGATTGTGGGTTCAGTAAAAGTGAAAAGAGGAGTTTGGATGAGATGCCCAAGTTCAATGGATAAGCACTCACCGGTCCGTACTTTCATGTTCACTTCACATGTGATTACTGTTATTATATTCATCCATAAATAACAATTAACCATTATTATTATTTATTAGTTGGTCCACTCTTATCAACAATATATATATATATATATATATATACTATATTATAAAGCATTTGACAAAAACTCTTAAAAACCATTTTTTATACGTAAAGTACTGTTTATTAATGCATATTACTTAAAACTCAAGATTACAAGTACATTATGTGTAAGTACAACTTATTAAAGCTCTATATCTGAATTCGTGTAACTAATTGCAGATAAACATAATCAAATACAGAATAAACATCTCATTTTAAATATAAGAAATTTAAAATATAATTAGGATAATCATTAAGTTCTAACATAATACTTAATTATTATCTTTATAAAATGTTATATTATTAAAYCAAAAACAAATTATTTTATTATTAAACTTAAATTAAATTATAATAAAAAAATAAATTATAAAATTATAAAAAAAAACGAGAACTATTAAATAGTTAATTTAATACTAATATTGATTTAGTTTTTTTTTAATTTTTACTCTATCTTCAAATTTATATTGCATTCAAAAATAAAAAGATTATCGTTTTCTCAAAACTACATAAAATCATATTATATCGGTAGAGACAAAGAATAAAAACTAAACATTAAAATAGAGATTTATCTCGCTACATTGCATGAGTACTTTTCTAGTATATTAAATGTAGTTATAAAAATTATTATTAAGATAATGAACGATTTTTTAATAACATATCTTAATAATGTTTTAAACAATAAAGTAAATTTTAAGTGATATCTAAATCATTAGACTTATTTAATCAATTTTAAAGCTATTTTTTTTAATTTTGCATAAATGGTTACATTCAGTGTCATTAATGAGAATAAATGTGACTAATAATTTTCTTACTGAAAAATACTTTAAATACATGTTATTAATCAAAGCTATACTATATTATAAAGCATTTGACTAAAACCTTTAAAAACCATTTTTTATGTATGAAATATTGTTTATTGATGCATATTACTTAAATTTCAAGATTACAAGTAATTTTGCGTAAGTACAACTTATTAAAGCTTTATTTTTTAAATTCATGTAACTAACTGCATATAAATATAATTAAATACAAGATAAACATTTATTTTAAATACAAAAAAATCACAAAAATAATTAAGATAATCATTGAGTTTCTAACAGAATGTTTAATTATTATTTTTAATAAAAATTATATTATTAAACCAAAAATAAAAATTAATTTGTTATTAAACCTAAATTAAAATACAATAAAAAATTAAATTAAAGAAGTTACACAAAAAAACGAGAACTATTAAATAGTTAAGTTAATACTAATATCGATTTTTTAAAATTTTTTATACTATCTTCAAATTTATATTTCATTCAAAAATAAAAATATTACCGTTTTCTCAAAACCACATAAAATCGTATTACATCGATAGAGACAAAAAATAAAAAAATAAACATTAAAATGGAGATTTATCTCGCTGCATTGCACGAGTAACCTTCTAATACTTTATTAAATGATACATAAAAAAATATGTTAAATAAATCTTTGAATTTGATGTATAGTTTATACTTTATTAACAATATTGATGTATAATTAAAATTTAATAATATTTAAGAATTTATGATACTTATTTTGCGCGTAACATTTATGTCACTATGTTTTTGAATGATTTATAATACATCAATATTGGTCCCTTTTTCCTTTTCTGACTAAATTTTGTTCTCGAAATAAATAGTACAGTTGTTACATGTAAGCTTCATCCAGCTGTCCTACCATTCTACTCACGAGATAGAGGGTGTGTTTTAAAGTCGGATATTCGTATCACATATGGACCCGACCCGTGCACACAGATTGGTCTTTCCCTTTTCTACCCCTTGTCCCTCCCATCTAGTCTCTAAAACAGGTGAGGTCATTTTCGTCCATTTCAGACTTTCATGAGTGCAGCTGGAGTTTGTTGTTTAGCTCAAAAAATTGAAGCGGCTTCACGCTCCCATTTAACACGCCACTCTGCAATGGATTACACATACATTAAACTACTTTTGTCTTCATTTACAAGATTTTATTTTTTGTATTTTCTTTAATTTTTAAAACATTTCATAATTCATATTTAATAGGTATTTAAGGACCGGTTACCTAAATACATACCGGTAAAATTCAACACTATCGCTTACTTACCAGGTAAGATTCTATTCACTAAAATGTATCGTATGTAACAATTTATCCCGGTAATGCTAACAATGGTAAGAGTCCACGTTCTCACTTACCGGGTAAGGCTCTCGATTCTTGTTTTTGTTCTTACCAGGTAATTTTTTTTGTTATTGTCATATTTATCCTATAAAATAAAGTGACTTGATAAACACTCATCCGGATAAACGTTTGGTAAATGGGACCTTAGTAATTTGAATTTGGTTTTTAAATTTCAGTTATAACTTGTATTTATTTAATTAATTAATATTTTATATATATATGATGTATTTAATTGCCTATTGTCGTTGTATTCATTACAACGCGGAAGCATCATCTACCAGGTTTATATGGGACAGCTTCTTCACCTCCACATAACCATTAAAAAAAATAAAAGGGGTTTAGTTTTTTTTATTAATCTATTAATATAACTTTAATTTACGTAATTAAAATTTTAAAAATATAATTATTTATTTGTTAAAAAAATATTTAGGAACTTAATCAAGGTTTTTATTTAATAAAAATATTCAATGGATTTAATCATTTTAAAATTAAAATGATAAAGTTTATTAATTTTTTTAATTAAAAAAATAGTTTAAGAAATTAATAATATATAAATTATATGCGATGAATAAATAAATGAAGCCACTGAATTTCAGTCCTATAAATACCCCAATTTCCCATCTCCAACTTCATCATCACAACTCTCACTTGATCGTATAATCCCATTTTCTTCCTCAATAACAATTAATGGCTTCCACTCGTCTTCTGCAACCACACCTTCTTTTCCTTCTACTGTGTGTGTTCAACGTCTCCTTTGCAGCTAGGAGGCTGAGTGATACCCTCTTGCAATACCACAATGGTGCTCTTCTCACCGGAGACATCTCCGTCAACCTCATTTGGTACGGAAACTTCAAGCCATCCCAGAAAACCATCATCACCGACTTCATCACCTCCCTTTCCTCTTCCACCTCACACTCGCAGTCGCAGATGGAACCATCTGTAGCCACATGGTGGAAGAAGACGGACAAATACTTCTCGAAATCGGCCAAGAAGCCCACGCTTCGAATCGGGAAGCAAGTATCCGACGTCGATTGCTCGCTGGGAAAATCCTTGACGGAGAAACACCTGGTTCAGTTGGCAGCAAAGGGTGAACCAAGTAACGCCGTCAACATCGTGTTAACGGCGAAGGACGTGGCGGTTGATGGTTTTTGCTCTAGCAGGTGTGGGACCCATGGTTCTTCCAGAAGTAAGAACTCCAAATTCGCATACATCTGGGTTGGTAACTCGGAGAGCGAGTGTCCAGGTCAATGTGCGTGGCCTTTCCACCAACCAATCTACGGACCACAGGTGGCACCCTTGGTTGCACCCAATAACGATGTGGGTGTAGATGGGATGGTCATAAACCTGGCGAGCCTCATGGCTGGGACGGCTACAAACCCGTTTGGGAAGGGATATTATCAAGGGGATGCAGGGGCACCGTTAGAAGCTGGATCAGCATGTCCAGGGGTGTATGGAAAGGGAGCATATCCAGGGTATGCAGGGGAGCTATTGGTGGAAGAGAGTACAGGTGCAAGTTATAATGCACATGGTACAAATGGAAGGAAGTATTTGCTTCCTGCTTTATTTGACCCCTCTACTTCTTCATGTTCCACTTTACTTTAAATTTATTATATATTCTTAGGTATCTCTTTCATAGATATTGTATAAAATATAAAAATAAAAAATAAAAAATAAAAAAACATATTAGTTTAGTGTAGAACTAGAAGTATGTATTTTATTTTCAATTATTTTATTTATTTATTTATGTCATTACACTTTTAATTAGCTTCTTGTTTTCAATTAAACATTTTTCTAGAAATGCTATATGAAATCGAATAATATTCGTTGCGTTAAATACTTAGGTTTATCTCTTGGTATAAATGTTTAATTAAGGATAAGTTTAACTTTGTTCTAATAATTTGTTTGTAATTTATTTGTATAAGAAGTAACTTGTTAAGTTTTTGGAAGTGTAAATGGAAAATTAACAACTTAGGAAAATTAACGACAATGGTGGCATGATTATGGATGTGGGTAGGTGGTGGGGTGGCAACTATAACGACAATATTAGTGGCATGATGATATTGGTGGTCGGAGGTGAGGGTAGGTGAGGTGGGCGGAAGTGGCAGCTGTGATGACGATAATAGTGGTATTCATGGTAGGTTGTGGGTGGTGGCGAGGGGGTGACACCTACACCCGCACCCCACCACCCACCTTACCTTTCCCACCCCTCGCTACCCATGTAGGTATAGGTGGTGGCGGAAGGTGGCTAGGGGTGGTAGTTGTGACGACAACAATAGTTTCATGATGGTGGGTGGGTGGTGTAGGCTGACAATTGTGATGATGACAGTGATGGTATTGATGGTGGATGGATGGTCAGGGGGTGTCACCCACCCCGCCCCTAGCCACCCGTCACAATCCCTAATCAACCACCTATTCCGCCCCTTGCCACTCATATCGGTGGTTGGTGGCATGCATGGTAATAACGATGATAGTAGTGGCATTGTGGTCAATGGGATGGGGGTGGGTGGCCGGGGTTGGGGTGGTAGCTATGATGACAACAATAGTGACATGTTGGTCAACGGGGATGGGGTAGGGAGGTATGGTAGTTGGAACAACAATAATACTGACATGGTGGTTAGGTGGTGGGGTTGACGGGGTTAGGTTTGTAAAATGGCGAGGGTGACATATGTGATGACAACAATTATGGCATGGTGGTCAGTGGTGGTTTAGGGTAGGGCGAAGGTGGCGGTTATGATGATGACAATAGTGGTGTTGTGGTTGAGGGTAAGGGTGGGTGCGTGATAGTGACAGTAGTAGCATGTCATGGTGGAGGCACGATATGAACGATATTGGTTAACTAATGTTAAGGAATGACGAATTCATTCCTAACTAATGTTAAGGAATGATGAATTCATTAATTTGGGGATTTCAATGAAATTTAAAAGATTCCATCTATTTTCAGTAAGTGAACCAAACAACGGAATTAAAACATGATAAAAGAAATTGATCATTTCAATTTCCTTGAGCCCAATGGATTTCATGAAAGAAACACCAGCCAATTCTCTTAAACGTGCAATCATAACAAGTTTGCAAGGAATTTAAGGTTTAGCACACTGGAACATTATATATACATCCTTGTTAAATTCATTGTTCATTTGTGAGGATGTTGTTTCTTAAACACAATAAATAACAATGTATTTTGAGTTACATTTGTTCTTCCCTATAATTTGTTGTTTTCAACGGATCTCGTCCCTATTTTGAAAGAAAAAAACTAATTAGGTCACTGCAGTTGCATTCTTTTTGTAACGAGTTGGATTCTAATAAAACATCAAGGACCCAACTTTTTAATTTATTTAGGAACTTGGCTAGTTAAAAAACTACAACCACACCGATCTAACTCATTAAAACACGCAACCATAGGAGCATGTTTCCTTAATTCTTTTAATTGATAAAATAGAGACTCATACAAATTAATCATGTGTCAGGAACCAGATTTGAACTGATGACACGAGGATTTTCAGTCCTCTGCTCTGAGCTATCCCGGCTATTCCTGATGTCTCATCCTCATTTTCATTTTACTAGATAACTTGGGTCYATGTCAATTGAAAGGGTATTACAAAGCCTCATTCAGGTCCTATAATTTTTCAAAAGAACAACTTTGTAAATTTTAGTTTGAATAAAAATATCGATCGTGAATCACTCAAATGGGGATTCCTTGCTCAAAGATGTTCATTTATACATGTATCATATATATATATATATATATATATATATATCACATGTGATAAGAAAACGACATTTCCGCTCAGATCCATTTGTATAAATAGTAGTGAATGAGAAAGAAAAGATAAGGAATTTTGAACCGCTAAGGAAAAAAGGATAAAATAAATAAAAAGAATACGAGAAATAATTAGGGAGTCAAATGGTCTTTTTAGGGATAGAGGGACTTGAACCCTCACGATTTTTTAAATCGACAGATTTTCCTCTTACTATAAATTTCATTGTTGCCGATATTGACATGTAGAACGGGACTCTATCTTTATTCTCGTCCGATTAATCAGTTCTTCAAAAGATCTATCAGATTATGGAGTGAATTGTTTGATCAATGAATATTCGATTCTTTCTTCAATATGGAATCGATTCACAACAATTCTTCTATATTATGTATACAGGTTTATCCTTCATCTTTTATGAAGTTTCGATAGAAGGATTCCTCTACCAATATAAGACAATTAACTCCATTCGTTAGAACAGCTTCCATCGAATCTCTGCATCTACCCTTTTTAATTTTCGCTTTATGAACCTTTGTTTATTTTCGGAAAACGTGATTTGGCTCAAGATTGCCCACTTTTATTAATTCCATGGTTTCTCTGAATTTGAAAGTTATCAGTTAGTAAGTTTCAATGCCAAGGCTCAATCCAATTAAGTTCGTAGCATCTACCAATTTCGCCATATCCCCCTTTTTGAGATGAAAATGTCATTGTGATCTCGTTCCCTTTTTTCTTTCATTTATACCGTGAATTCATTAGATAGATGTCGATTCCTGTCTCGAAAAAGTGTTTTCTCCTATGTCTTTGATTTCTTGTCTATCTTCTTTCATCTTCTATGGGAGGCTCATATTTGATCCAATCAAAAACAATTTTATCATTTATGTATCCGAAATTCAATATAGGTGGATACATACTCTATACATCTGTCTCGCTTCCACTAATTTACCGATGCAATTTCAAATACTTGAACGGTCGACTCCTTTTAAAAAATAAAAAAATATTTCATTGTGATAAATAAAAATTGAAATTCTATAGCAAATGAATCCCGTGATTCTTAATTAAAGAGAGTACCTTGGAATTCATAAGGAATTTACTTGTCTATGTACTGTTCCATTCGATCTTTTATGTCCCAACTTCACCTCGACGGTTAGGCCACGATGCCCTTAAGGGTGCGTTTGGTGCACATACAGGACAGGACAAGACAGAACAGGACAGGACTGCTGTTCAGCCTTTGGTAAGGCATGACAGAACAGAACAGAACTGGTGGAAATGACCAATTTACCCCCAGTGCAAATCAAACAGCAAATTGATTCATAGCAAATCGAACATAGCAAAT